CCAACTACACCTTTATTTTCAAGGTGGCCTGAACAGAGTGTTTTAGGGCAGCAAACCCTGGTCTCAGGCCACCTTGAATGTAGCCCGAAAACCACAGCTTTGAAGCCTCATGCGCGCCATACCTGGGAACAGAATTGTAGCTACCCTGGGTCCGTGTAAATACTATGTTGCTATACCTCTTACACACTTATACAAGTTCAAAGCACGAATGAGACTTCAAAGCTGTGGATTGCTGTGCGTGTGTAGAGGTTATCGAGCGGTTGACGGAAAGGGAGCTCGAAGTACTATACCTGGTAGCTGCACTATAGCTACCCTGGGTCTCTATACCTGGCAAGGTGCCAACTACACCTTTCCATTCAGATGATGCAAATGATGCAGATTGCATTTCTTGCATCACCACCCCTCGAAAATCACCTCCAACACAACCTCAAAAACCCTTCCCTCGACGCACCCTCCTCCCCCAGCATGTGCCGAGTTTACGTGTACCTTTCCCGGGCCACCCCCTCCAGACCCCCCAACTACTCACTTCGTTCGCCAAACACAACTCCGCTAGCGCCTTCTACGAAGGCTGGCTTTCGTAATTATACATTGGATTGTAGTGAGCATAGGCACGAATTCCTCAACCTCTGCGATGCCCTCGCACGCGCAGGCACACGCGCGCGCGCGCGGGTGTGTGTGTGTGTGTGTGCCATGGGGAGTCACTGATATCTCTGTTTTTTTGCATGTCCTTTGAAGTTGTTAGAAAGAGAACTTGATGCCAGGACACTGCAAGTCTGGCACTAACAAAGACACTTGCAAAGGTCTATGACTGTGATATCAATTGACGCACCCGCGTGAAGATGTAATGACTTCTGACTCCCTTTTTTGGTCCCGCTGTAATTAGAACGGTATCTCCAGCCTTTCCATTCGTTTACATTCTGCAGACAAGTGCTCGTCGATCGCTCCGCTTCGTTGGATCATGTGGAACTTTCGGAACTTAGAACCTTTTGGCGGTTAGACGCCGTTCCACTTCACCCCTGGTTATTTAATTTAACTAAGCCTGTTGAAATACTTGGGCAGCTTCAGGGCAAGTGGCATTCAGACCGTACATATACTATATATAGATATATTATATACAAATATATATCCCGTGCGCGCCCGCGAATGGAATCTCAAAACTCAGCGCTAGGTGGATCACGCGCCGTTTAACATTGAGGAACCGTCTAATTCACTCAGCCATGGGCACACACTTAGCTGCCGCATTTGCAATGAAAACAATGTGATGTCAGTTTTCCTGGCTCATTTGTCAAATGAATGCTATCCACGGCAAGCGACGGCGAATGCACTGAAAATGCAAAAAGGTCTACACAGCCCAAGTGGGCCCTTGAGTACTCACAAATGATCTATCAGGTCGCCCAAAGCAAAGGACATGTGTTGGGAGCAACTTAGAGCGGTGCCCGTGCTAGGCCGTGAGCATCCAGTAGGCGGCAGAGCATCACAGCACCTCAGGAAGCCCATTGCGTTCACATACAATATATCGAGGAGAAAACTCTGCTCTTGCAACTATAATATCATTTCAGAATTGGGAAGCAATGGCTTGAAAGTTGCTCACACTGCCCAGCTGTCATTCCTCTCACAACACTTATCTGCGCAGCAAAAATAACAATTGGAAAAATGGCAAGGGACTGAATGGTAACGGCTTCATTGAAAAGTCAAGGCAGGGCGGTTTAAGCGCAGATCTGAGGGGAGGCTGAAGCCGAATCCACTTGCCCGACTTGCCCTGTGTAAAAGCAATGGCCTCTACCCCAATAGCGACGGCCTCCAACCTAGTTGCGATGGCCTCCACCCTAATAGCATGTAAATATTGTCTGCGCTGTTGTGTCTTTTCGTTGAGTTTTTGCTGCAGTGTCAATAGCATGCAACACCGGGACCATAGCCTTGCAGTCAAAACACTCTGACAAAAAAAATAGAACTTCAGAATGTGTGTCCTTTTTCGGAAAAAATATATATTTGACCAGAATGCTGGTGTGATGCGTGCTGTGCTCCTGTGTTGTTGTGATCTGCGATGCATTTTGTGGCGTGCACTTCCACAAAAACTGTGCATTGTTTTTCTCTAGAACCTCTTTTGTATTGCACCCTGTCCATTGATTTCCCTGGAAACTTGCGCCATGTTAACTTTCAAATGACAATATCCTGGTCGCGTTTGATCGCTTGATACCGCTTGGAGTGGTGTGTCGGGCAGCGCACTGGTGCTTCTGGCGTTCCGATCACAACCGCTTTGCTTTGGCCAATCTCATCTTGCAATAGTTGCTATGGCTATTCTCGGAATGCTGAAATGCTGACATCCCTCTCATATGTGTGTGTCTGTGTGTGTGCCCCTTGTAGTCACAGGGATTCTTTTGAATTCTTTTTCTCTTACATCAGCAGGGGCCCATGGACACTTGGATGGCATGGGCCAACGAAGACCCATCCAAGCTGTCGTAAAAACGTTTGGTGCACCTGGGCGCATTGTAAGACGGAGCTGGTGGCCACCTTTCTTCTTTTTCTTTTTGTAAAGTGCTAATGCATCGGCAGTCATGCACGGAACGTCGTCATCCCGTCGGCTCGTCGCTTCGTGGCCTTTAACTACAGGCGCGCAGCCCCCCCCTTACCTGGCTTTTCAGGATTTGGTTTCTTAGGCCGGCGTGTGGCACCGCTGTCAAGTCCATACGCATATCCATAAGTGTGTCTGGCCTCGCGCCAGTCCGGGATGAGCCCGTAGAGTGCCTCCCGTGGACCCGTCGAACGGGTGTCTGTCGAACGTATCCCCTGCCCGGATACAGAGCAGCTTGCAGCGAGCGTAGGTGGCCTAGGCCGAGAGAACTCAGATTTTTGTCTCATCTTTGGAATTCCAAGTTGGCTCACGGCTTTACGTGACCGCAGCGGTCAAAGCAGCCAGCCATTTTGGCAAGGCACAAGGTGACCATGACCATAGCGGTCAAAGCAAGTTTAAGGTTCATTGGAACCTGTCGAGAGCTTAGTCCCCCCTCCTTCCCCTTCCCTCCCCCTTTCTTTCTTTGCTTTCTGGGGTTTTCCTGAATGGAATACTCAGGATCACCCCTCTCTTTCTTTGGTGTGTCCCTGGACGATTGTTCGTAGCTGGGAACACCTGCCTTTTTCATTTTCTCTCCTCTCCCTTTCTCTCCCTCTCTCTTTCTTTCTTTCTTTCTTTCTGTCTTTCTGTCTTTCTTTCTTTCTTTCTTTCTTTCTTTCTGTCTTTCTTTCTTTCTTTCTTTCTTTCCTCTCTTCACCTTCCTTCTTCCTTGGGTGTCCCTGGATGCTTTCGTCATAGCTGGGAACCCTTCTCCTCTCTTCTTTTGGTGTGTCCTTGGACGCTTGTGTCGTGGCTGGGAACACCTTCCTTTCTTCTCTTTCCTTTTTCTCTTCTCTTCTCTCCCTACCCCTCCCTCCTGTCGGGACCTTAGAGTGGGATACTGCTAGGGGCTCCTGGCCTTCCTACTAGGTGCTCGCTACTTTGACGCTACTAGGGGTTCCTGGCCTTACTACTACTCTGTCGGCACCTTAAATATGCCTTTTGTCGGGGAGGCGTGTGTGTGTGTGTGTGCCCCTTGTAGTCACAGGGATTCTTTTGAATTGTGAAGGTAGTCACAGGGATTCTTTTGAATTCTTTTTCTCTTACATCAGCAGGGGGCCCATGGACACTTGGATGGCATGGGCCAACGAAGACCCATCCAAGCTGTCGTGAAAACGTACCTGCTTGGTGCACCTGGGCGCATTGTAAGACGGAGCTGGTGGCCACCTTTCTTCTTTTTCTTTTTGTAAAGTGCTAATGCATCGGCAGTCATGCACGGAACGTCGTCATCCCGTCGGCTCGTCGTTTCGTGGCCTTTAACTACAGGCGCGCAGCCCCCTTTACCTGGCTTTTGAATTTGGTTTCTTAGGCCGGCGTGTGGCACCGCTGTCAAGTCCATACGCATATCCATAAGTGTGTGAAAGCGTGTGCAAGACCGATGAGGGTACTGCAGGCAGAGCTTGGATGAGCAAACCAAGTTTGCAGTGCAAAGAGACATACGGCACGTGTTGACAAGATAAAGTTTGCATGTGCTGCACACAGTTGCAAGGGCACGTCCGTGCTGAAAAGGCTAAAATAAGTCCACAAGGATGTGAAATATAGAACCGACATGAACCAACATGGTACAGCAGGGGCAAAGCTAACAACGGTGTTTGGGGAGCTCAATGGACTGGTATGCAGAAGCTGTGCCCTGCAAGACTGGAATCCACATTCATGTACATGTTCACAAGTGCAAATGACTCGCGAGGCAAGTGACTATTGAAGTGAAGGAAGGCGTGTTGTAACATCATTGACTGCAAGGTAAGGCACAGAAATGACAGGCAAATGACAAACCCCCGTACCTTTTGGACAGTTCACTTTTCGCCGTAGTTCACTAAAAAGGATACATATTCTGACTCTACGGACCTGACGAGATCTTCTGCAACCCAGATTCTGTTTGAAAGACCGAGATCCGATCAGGGGTGACTAGTGAGGCTTGGTAAATGTTGCTGTGGGTTTTGGCAGATTAGATGCGCGCATGAAGATGTACTCAAAGGGAGGGAAGGCAATACCGATTTGACTTCTCGTGAGTCCTGCAACCACATCTAGAGCTCTCTATCCCGTTCCTTCTGTCTAACCCTTATCCCCGGAGGTGAGGCATGATGACCTGCAGCGCATGACCAGAGTGGCCTTGCCCTCCCATGCTTCCTTCGTGGATCGTTCCTCTCTCCTCCGGTCGTTTCATCCTGCATGACTCTCAGTAAATTTGGTGTTCAGCAAATTTGTCAGTAAGCTTTACCTCCAAACACCACACCAGTCAATCCTCATCCCTACAGATGCGTCTTACCCAGCCCACAAGGATGCCCTAGCTCTTGTGGTCGCTTGCTAGTTCCAAACAAATTTAGGCTGCTCCAAACCAATCCAAAACACTGAAAGGCCCAATCCCGCCAAAATCTTCTATGCTCTGAAGCCCCCTGCGGCTTTGAGGTTAGCACTGGACATCTTTCCTTTTGGCGGATGAACAGGGCACCTTCAAACATAGAGTGGTAGAGAGTCCACAAAAAATTGTAATCAAAACAAACTAAAGACAACTGAACTGATGTTTATCAACATGTTTCTAGTGAATAGGTAATCAATGAAATCCTAAATGCTGATAATAACAATATATAGACAACTTTCTGTCCATCCAATTTGTCATTTTGCCTTTGTCTGTTCGTCTCTTGATTTTATGGAAAAACTTAGCAAAATGAAAAAGTGAATTGTATATGCTTGGTGATTCTTTATCATATATTTTTGGCCAGCAGAGTTATATAAATATAAAGACGTTGTAAAAAAATATAAAACCATAGAATCTATCATTACCATATCACATCTTAATGTTTGCAGATTTCATGTGGAGAAAACTACGAGTATGAACAACACCAATATTCTAGTGTGCAAATAAGTGTGTTTTTTACAGTATATTACATTAAAGCATTGGCTGACCTTCAAACATATTTCAAAATCTTGCCAGTGGGCTGATCCTGCTGGCCTGAAGCTTGGACTAGGTGAACTGCCATCGTGGCCAAACATTTACCCCGAGATACCAGGTCGCCACCATGACCTGGTTCTCCAAACGCTTGTGGACGCACCCTGTTCAGACCTTCGGTGAATGATTCCCTGCCATCTGCACCTGAACCTTCTCCGCGTCCGTAGCCATCTGCAGAGGCATCAAAGGTAAAGGACCTCCCCCCTCGGCGAGAGCCTCAGGCACTGGGGTAAAATTGGATCATAGATCATGACACTGAGATTGCACATGTAGAAAACAAGTTGATAAAGAAAGGACACGACTCGGAAGCAAACACATATGGGAAAATTCAACATTGTCTTGGATCCAAAGCATTTACTGTCACAGGCCTCTTGAAAGGCAAGTGAACTGACGACGACATGGATGTGCCTGTGTAACAAACAGAGAAACGAGAACACCAACATCTTTGTCGCGGGTTGCATACAACGTCATGGAAGCCACTGGAAGACAGGTCTCATGGACTTGGTTTGTGTGCAGCATTGTAAAAAGGTGGTGATGGTGGTGGTTGTGGTGGTGGCAGTCGTATTCGTAGTCGTAGTCGTAGTAGTCGTGGTAGTCGTAGTCGCAGTAGTAGTAGCAGCAGCAGCAGCAGTAGTAGTAGAAGTAGGAGGAGGACAGTAACAGCAACAGCAAAAAACAGGAACAGTAACAGCAACAGTAGTAGCAACAGTAGTGGCAACAGTAGTAGCAACAGTAGTAGTAACAGTGCTAGTAACAGTAGAAACAACAGTAGTAGTAACAGTAGTAGTAACGGTAGTAGTAACGGTAGTAGTAAGAGCAGGAACAGTAGTAGGAACAGTAGTAGGAACAGTAGTAGTAGTAGTAGTAGTAGTAGTAGTAGTAGTAGTAGGAGTACCAGTAGTAGTAGTAGGAGTACCAGTAGTAGTAGTAGTAGTAGTAGTAGTAGTAGTAGTAGTAGTAGTAG